TCCAGAGGATCTTTTACCTGGTTTAGATATTTGTTCTGGACTTTTTTGAGTAGGGACAGCTACCCCACACAACCCATGCTCTGATAACTCCCAGGATGGATTGCTGTTATAACATAACATTCAATGGCAGAAATTTCAATCGGTATAGAAAGAATTGTGATGTGGTTAAATTGACTGGTGATGCAACTTCCGAAGCAGCTACAGCATCTATTTCTAGACATGGATGTTTGGAATTTGAAAAAAGTAAAATCGATTTCATTTCATATTTCTATTTATGTAAGTATAATGTATATTTACTTTTGAAAATCTCATGTAGCACCTTTAATGTGTCAGTTTATGTCTGTAGTAACAAGCTGATAATGAAGGTCATGCCTTAGGAGGTAGTAGATTACTTATTGATCAAATTTCTAGTCTGCCCAACTCCAAGTGACTCTGAACAGCTTAAGACAATAAAAACAATAAAATTAACAATAACATTCAATAAATAGTATTACCTAGAAGGAACAGTAACCAAACTCTCCCACCCACCAATAGAAACAAAACCAAACAAAGATTCAAGGATGTATATTACTGTAATGTACTTCCTTATCTCTCTCTTTTTAAAATGAATAGAGACAGCTTGTTAAAATAAGTAGGGCTTTGGCACAACTTCTATAACAAAGCCACTATGTTGCCTTTCAAGGAATGTTTATGTAAAATTTTCACATCATGAATGTGAAACCAAGAATGCGGCTATCTTATAACAGGAATAACATATATGCATAATATCCAGATGGACTGCTATTTCCTTCTTTAATTATATGTCTTATTATCATTTTAGCCATTGTCTATCCATTGTCTATCCATTGCAGGATGAAGGCCTCTTCTACATGTTTCCAAACAATATCATCTTGAGCTTCTTCTTCTTCTTTTCCCCAATTGGGGCAACAATACTTGCTGATGTTGTTCCTCCATCTTGTTTTAGTTCTCATTCATGGATACTTTTTTATTTTTATTTTATTTTATTTTATTAGATTTGTCAATTGCTTACAAGATAATAGGTAAAAGTATAAACATAGTTATGAATAAATGGATACAAATAAGAAAAATAAAAGAAACAATAGGACAGGGACGGTAGGCACGTTGGTACGCTTATTCATTACCCCTACAGGAAAGGGGTGAAGTCAATAGTAGACAGTCTAAGGTTAAAGTTTTTGGGGTTTGGGGAAGAAACTACAGAGTCGGGTAGAGTATTCCAGACATTGACCACTCTGTTGCTGAAGTCATATTTCCTGCAATCAAGTTTGGTGTGGTTAACCATGAGTTTGTATCTATTGTGTGCTCTTGTATTTTTTTTTTTTTTTTTTTTGTAAATTTTATTTGAGTTTTCACAAAGAGAAAAAAAATACAAATAAAACATCTTTTTTGAAAGTAGCGTAATCCCGGGTTACATTTCTTCGTACAGACACAAATTCAATTTCATGCTCATTTTTATATTCTATTCCATATCTTATTACTATTTTACATTTTCTGCATAGCTTCTCCCCTCTTTTAATTTTCTCAATTTTATTTTAATTATCTCATCTCAATTCAAATCATTGTATTTATATTTTTTGTCTATCCTGTTTCAATTATCTATTATCTTTTCTCATTAAACAAAATTTCTCCTGTAGTTACTGATTGGAGTATGACGCCTTTATATCTTTTCCCTAAAGTTGTAACATTCAATATAATACATAACTTCCATTCGGATTCTGCTTGGTACATTCTTAAAATACACACTGTATTCTTAAAAAAAGAAAAAATATAAATGTATATAATTAAAACAACACATTCCATTCCAATTCAATTCTATCATTAATATTAATATTCATTAAAGTCTTAACATCTTTAACATTACTTTTCAATTAAATATCATACTTCTATGGGAACAATTATAAGCTTTCCATAGTTAATTCCCCCCATCTTCACTTATATTTTATAAAACATTAACTAATTAAAATGTTCCCGTTCCTTCCTAATTCAACTTTCTCATTTATTTTATTTCACTTATTTTATTCATAAACATTTCAATAAATTACACTAACTATTTTATCCCTCATTTTAATCATACGTTGTTTCCAATTTTCTAAAGTTATTTCTATTACTAATATAACAATACAATCTTATGTACCTTTACAGAATCCCTTTTTCAGTTAGATTTTCACCCATTATCTCTAAATAGGTCCTGTTTCTCTATATCTTGCTCCGGTTCTTTGTAACTTCTTTTCCTTTCCTCCTTCCCTCTCTTCTTCTCTCTCCCCTTTTTACCCCCTTGTCTCTCTACCTCTATTTCTCTCTTCTGTATTCCCCTTTTCTGTTGCTTTCCAGTATTATACTTATTTTTTGAATTATTTTTCTTTTCTTTGGTTGTTTTTTTAAGTCTTAAATTCTCCATTCTCTTTCCCCCCTTTCCTTTTTCTTCCCCACATAAAATTGCTTGTTCATTAAAGATGGCTTCTTCTTTGTCCCAGTCTTCTTGTTCTGCAGGCATTTTTTGTTGTTTCTCATAATTCCAAATCTCCATTTCTAAAAATTGAAAAACGAAGCCAAAAGAACCCTTCCCTTCTTGTGCATCTTCTTTGTACTTTTTAAGTTCCATTTTCAATTCATCCAGAAGTGGTGCCATTGTATAAATTTTTAAACAACCACCCGATTGATTTTAGTCATTCAAATATAATAACCAAGAATCCAAAGATCACCAAATAATCCAAATACACGCAAGCTGTTTCTTTTTTGCTCTTTTTTTTCACTTTCTCTTCCTGGGGTTACTATTTAGTTGCAAAGTTTCAGTTAAAATGTATCTTTTAGAAGTCTTGTTGAAGTTTTACTGTAGATTCTTTTTAATTCCAGGCAGTCTCCTCCCTCTTCCAGATCCTGCCCTTATTCTTTTCTCTCCCTTCCTGCTTATGCAAAAGAAAATCTTTATTATCCCTTTGGCATTTTGTTTTATTTTCAGCTTAATTGCCTATTGATGTCAAAGTGGATTTTTCCAATTTCTTATTTAAGTCTCTTAGTTGTCAGTATAGGGAAGGAGAGAGAAGAAAAAAAAAGCCAAACCTTTCCCTTTTCACTTTTCTTTGCTGCTTCCGACTCTTCTTTGGGAGCGATGTTATTTTTTGTAAGTTTAAATTCCAGGGTACCTTAGTTGTTGCTTTTACAATTTAACCCGGTCAGCCAAAACTTTCACTTCTTATCTTCCTTCTGCACATTTTTTTCCGGTCGAGTTCTCCTTTGTGGTGGCCATTTCTGACCACCACTGCAACCGCCTTCAGGAAAGGGAGTAATGGCCAGCTGAGGAGGAGAGATGCGGCTCTCCTCAACCCTGCTGGCAGTCTCCCCTCTCTTCACCACCTCTACGGGGTGGCTTAGCCCGAAATCAGCTGGCTCGGGGCGCTCCAGCGGCAAGCCCAGACAGAAACCGCGCACAATCACGGATTTCTGTCTGTCGCCGAAACCCTTCAAACCGGAATTCCGTGTGCTCTTGTATTGTTATGGTTGAAGCTGAAGTATTTATTGACAGGTAGGACATTGCAATGTATGATTTTATATACTATACTTAGATCAGACCAAAGATGGCGTAGTCCTAGGTTGTCTAGGTCTAGAATTTCAAGTCTGGTGGCATAAAATATTCTGCAATGAGTAGAGGAGTGGAGAACTCTTCTTGTGAAATATTTCTGGACTTTCTCTACTGTGTTAATATCAGATACGTAATGTGGGTTCCAGACGTATTGGTCTAGCAAATGTTTTGTATGCTCTAGTTAGTAGTGTGATATTACCAGAGAAAAAGCTACTGGGATTAGGTTAACAACTCTTAATGGCTTTTTGGCTATGTAGTTACAGTGGGCTCTAGCACTAGATCATTTGAGATGAGTACTCCAAGATCCTTGACAGAGTTTGGTTCATCAACAAGGTCTTGACTATTCAGCTTGTATTTTATTTTCTGATTTTTTTTGCCAATATGTAAGACAGAGCATTTATTTATTGAGATTTGAAATTGCCATTTGTTTGACCATTCTGATACATAGTCGAGGTCTTTTTGAAGGGTAGCAGAATTATCTGTGGTGTTGAAAAGCTTTACATCATCAGCGAAGAGAATGCAGTTGCTCTTAATATGATCACAGAAGTCATTTATGTAGAGCAGTGGTTCCCAAAGTGTGATGCCTTAGGGGGACACTAAGGGGGCTGGCAGGGAGGTGCTAAGAGGTGGCAGGGGGTGCTGGAGGTGGGTGGAGGGTGCAATTCAGGGGTGGGATTCTACCATTTTCTCTCTCTCTCTTTTCCTCTCTCAAGCTTACCCCACTGACTGTTGCACCAGAGCGGTGCAAGGGGTTCAATGGGGTGAGCAGCCCTTCCAAGCCGGCCAGCTTGTGCAGGCAGCCAGCCTCCTCATTGCGCAGGACTTGCACCACATGATGCCCAAAGAGCTGCCAGTAGTGGGCCAGGTGCTTGGCTTTCAGCCGGTCCTTGTCCAGGAAGCAGCAGAGGTCACACAGCTCGCGGTTCTCTGCCTGCAGCCTCCCATTGATGGCTTTCAGCTTGCGGATCTTGCGCAGGTGCTCCTACAGCTGCTGGTTCATGCCCTGGATCAGCCAGCCATGTTGCACCAGTGCTGCCACCTTCTCAGGCTCCTCTCGGCACAAGCAGTGCACCAGCTCCTCCTTGCTGCAGCCGGCCAGGTCCGCCTCACTGCCCAGGGCATCGGATGGTGGAGAAGGCGGCAGCAGCGGCGGCGGCAGAGGAGCTGGTGGGCTGGAGGAACAGCTGACCGGGGGCAGCGGCAGCAGTGGAGGCACCGGGAACATTGCTCGCTGAGCTCCAGCCGGTGTAAAAAGGTGGCGGGGGAAGCAACCGATTAGCCCACCCATGCAATGGCATCTTTGCAAAGCTGGATGCCAGGAGGAGTGAGCCGCGGTTTTGCAGCGGGACCTCCCTCTTCCTCCACCGCCGCCACCAAGATTAATGGGACGGGTGCATGGTGGGACTGGATGCACTGCGCCTCCGCCAGCCGGGAGTAGGTACAGTGAAAGGAGAAGGGTGCCTGCACAGTGGAGGGCGGGAGTGAAGGGGGCAGGCGGGGGGAAGGATGCCCTGTTGGTGTAAAGTGGGTGGGTGGGTGAGCGGGAGAGCATGGGCGCGTGCGCGTGCACAGGAATGGACTGATGGCAGGGGGCAGGGAAGCAGCACCTAGAACGCAGCAGTGGTGGCACGTTTGAAAAGTAGAACAAAGCCAGAGGTTGGTAATTTCTGCTGCAAAGAATCACAAAAGCTTCTGGGGAATGCACAAGAAGGGGCACACATGTCAATGCAATTCAGCAACATAAAATAAAGAAATACAAATAAAACAAATCAACAAGAATCGGCAAAGCATCTCTGATTAGATTCTATTCACTACTAGAATCTAATCAGAGATGCTTTGCCGATTCTAGTCCAATGACCTGCTCCAGCAGGGTTAGGAGTGTGTGTGTGTGTGTGTGTGTGTGTGTGTGTGTGTGCATGGCTGTCAAAACTCCAAAAACAGGTCAAGTAGCTCTGGGGAGGCCAGTCATAAATTAGAACACTTGCTAAGCAACCAGCCATTAAGTGAGGACCACTTGTATTTGGTTTGCCAGTTACCTGGCCATGCCCACCCAGTCACATGACCACCAAACCACACCTACCTGGTCATGTGACCAGCAAGTCATGCCCACCCAGTCACATGACCAGCAAGCCACACACACCCAGTCACATGACCAGCAAGCCACACCTTCAAATTAGGCCATGCCCACAGAAATTTGAATCCCACCCCTGGGTGGGGGGCACCGAGGATGAGTTTGTAGCACCAAGGGGGCGGTGGACTGAAAAAGTTTGGGAACCACTGATGTAGAGTATGAAGAGAATTGGTCCTAGAACACTGCCTTGGGGGACACCACTGTTGACAGGTACAGAAATTGACAGGACGTTTCCAATTTTGACCATTTGTTGTCTGTTTGACAGGAATGCTTCTATCCAGTAATACAGGTGTCCAGAGATATCATAAGATTTTAGTTTTAGGAGTAATTTGTCATGTACCACTGAATCAAAGGCTTTAAAGAAGTCTATGTAGATTGCGTCTATTGTTTTGCCCTGATCGAGTTGTGTAGTCCATATGTTTTTGCAGTGTAAGAGTTGCAGATTACAGGAGTTTTTTTTTCTGAAACTAAATTATTTATTAGAGAGTAGGTTGTTTGTCTCTAAGTGGAGGATAGTGGATTGGTTAATAATTGATTCCATGACTTTACAGGTGATGCAGCATAAGGAGATTGGTCTGTAATTTTCAACTAGGCTGGGGTCTCCCTTTTTGAAGATGGGGATGACCGTGGCTTGTGACCATAGGTTAGGCAAGGAGCTGGTCCTGAAAGGTTTTTTGAAGATTATGCTTAGAGGTTCGGCTATGGCAGTGGATAGTTTTTTTAAGAAGTAGGCACATATTCCGTCTGGTCCAATAGATAGAGATGGTTTTACATTGCGTAGTGTTTTTTCAACATTGTCTTCTGTAAAATTGATATGTATTAGATCATTTAGTTGTCTGTGGTTCGGCTAGGAAATACTGGGCATGATCCATTGCTGTTTACAAATACTGAGCCAAAGAATGTGTTAAAGAGGTTGGCTTTAATGGTGTCGTCGTTACAGTCTTTACCATTAGGTGCTATCAGGGGTGGGATGAACCTTGAATCTTTTAGTTTGTTGTTTACAAAATTGTAGAAAGCATGGGTGGAATTGGTGCGTAGAAGGTTTTCCTCTTGTTTAATGTGATAATTGGTGCATTCAGTCTTTATCTGGTGGCATAAATTTTTGTATCGGCTTTTGAAGTTGGCAACATGACCAGATTTGTTTTTCCGCCAAAGTGATATCTTTTTGGATTGAAGCTCCCTTATTGTTATGGGTAATCTGTTTTTTTCTGGTTTTGGAAGTTGTTATTGGTATAGTTTGATGACTCTTTTGACTTCAAGTAAAAATATGTTGTAATGGTCTTCAACAGTATTGCATCCAGTGAGTAGAAATTGCCAATTAAGGGATGAGAGATCACTGTCTATAAGATCATAGTTGCCTTTTTTAAAGTTATAAGTTACGTCATTGTGGTGATTTTTGTGTGGACGTATGTTGAGACAAAAGTCAATCGTGTTGTGGTCACTGTTGGAAAAGGGTTCTTTAATTTGTATTCCGTAAATTGAATTCAAACTATTGCAGAAGATGAGAGCGAGGCAGTTGTTAAGTCTAGTATTGTTGGTTACTAGTTGTTCCAGTCCCAGATTTGTTACAGCATTGTAGAAGTTTGCATGTATGGGTTCAGTGTTACATTCGTTTAGGGTCCAGTTAATACGAGGTAGATTGAAGTCACCAAGAAAGATAAAAGTATGTGGGCAGGATGTTGCCCATGTTAGTAGTGAATTTAGCTTGTTTACATGTTCAATGTCATAATCAGGGGCTTTGTAACATTTTTATCAAGTGAAATCCATTCTATGATCAATATAAATAAATAAATATTTTTCTGGATTTCTCCACTCTACAGATATCCATCGCTTGTTGACAACATCAAACCATCTTTGTTTGTCTTCTATATCTCTAAGCAGACCAGTAGTTCAATTTCTATTTTGCTCACTTGTGGATCTGTCCATTAGTAAATTTGAAGCTATATGAGTCATGATTTAAAAATAAAAATGAGTTTATCTCTTTCCATGAAGGGGAAATAACATTTTAGACTTTGACCCTTCCTGTAATCCATCTATTTATGATTGAGATAAGTAGTTTTTTAAAAATAGGGAAAATTCCATGAACATAGGAGGAGCTTTTACTGTAAGCATGAATAGAGAAGTTATGGGTATTTGCAAGCATTAAGGTCCTGTGTTTGCCCATGGATGCTCTTCAAATGACTTAAAATGACAATGATACAGTACCTGGATAATTTTCCATTAAAAATTGATTTTCTTCAAAGTTACAAATATTTAACAACCTCTAGGGTGGCTTTGGCAGTATGAAAATGGCCAATAAATGGGGCTTCCTGATAATGGGGGGCTCACGACAAAAAAGGTGCTATAAAAGGCATATTTCCTTCTACAAGCCTGAAATGCCATTTTACTTCCTAGTTAATTTGACTACTACTTCTTCAGCATATATTCTGATAGAAAGATCAAAGAATCCTTCTACTGAGTGAAAAAGATAGTCCTCTTTATTCCTAACACAAATATCTTCCTGAAAATTGAGTGACTATCCAGGGGAGTAGGGAATAGTGTCACTGCTAGTGCTTGTTGCCAGATTCTGGAGCTGCAATTTATCACCTATAACTTTTCTCCTCTACCTTTTTAGCCATCCTATCCTAGCAGCAATTGTTCCTGACTGAACAATTAATCAGTGGAACGGCTTGTTTCTAGAAATTGTGGATGCTCCAACACTGGAGGTTTTGAAGAAGAGATTAGGCAATCATTTGTCTGAAATGGCATAGGGTTTTCTATGTGAGTAGGGGGTTGGACCAGAAGATGTCCAATATTTCTTCCAACACTATTATTCTATTAGATCTTATTTGGCATTTAACATAATAGACACTATGTCTATCTCACATATAGTACTGCCTTTAAAGCCTTTACAATAGGTGTAGGCAACCTGTGGCCTCTTACATGGAGCTCTTAGCCACAAGTCTTCTGCAGAGTTGAAAAACCAACAAAAGAATAGCCTCATCAGTTTCCATGATTATACAACTGGTTTGATACACAGAAAAAAAGAGAACAGTAAAATTAGATGATTGAATCTGCAGACAAAATCTCAAAATATAGCCTCCAATCAGTTTCATGCCACGTTCTATGAAAAATGCATATTGCCAATTGAGTTTTAAAATACAGACAAACCATGGGCCACAATTGGATTATCTATGATCGTTTTCCTCCATTGCCCTATGCAATAAGTGCTTCTGAAAATGCCCTTTTCAGGATCATGTCTTAATACTAGATTTGAATTTGATTTGATTATGAAAATAATCTCTGAATATTTTTGGAGAGAAGTTATAAACCAGAAAAAAGTATCACAAATACATTCAGAGATTAATAAAATACTGCACAGTTAAAAAGTGTGCTTTTAATACTGAGAAAAATAATATTTCTAGATCTTAATGTAAAGAAAATTATAATGATGTCTCATCCTTTAAACATTTTGAGCTGTACAATTTATTGTGAAAAAATGCTCATTTCAAGAGTACTCTTTTTTGAAATAGCAAAAATCTATATAAACAGGACATTTGCTGACCTCTTCCCTGTCATGCGTGCTCTTTCTGATTCACTGCCAACTTTGGATTCACAAATTGGTCTATGTCCTGCTATTTGATTTTTCATTTAGCATGCTCTGTGAATACAACCAAAGTGCATTTCAGTTGTGGTGTAGCAATAAGAAAAGGAGCATGTTAAATTTGTTTTGTTAGGATACAAAACTACACGTAACCTGGATTCACACTACACATACTCAAATCAAACAAACTACATTGTAGTGTAATGAAATGGATGAAAATGTATTCATTGACACATGTGTAAAAAATAGAGCATATGAAAGAGATCCTGAAAAAGAGAAATGTGATTTATGCAAATATTGATTCTGATGTAAGAACTTTATTATGAAATTGTAGAAGTTATATTTTACTGGCTTAAAGAGTTATGTTACACTCTATGTATGTTTTTTTAATCCTGCAAAAAAGTAGAAATGTATGTGAATTATACTTCATAAGGCTCTAAAAAGAACCCTTATATATAACTAGTATTGCTAGCTGTGAGCCCACAACTTTGACATACAAAATAGGTATTTTAAAATAAAATATTCATTGCAAATAAAATTGGAGATCCATTGGCAATAAAATCCATAAAAGGAAATAAATTGGTTCTTTGATTTAGAAGATAATAAAATATCCATCCACTTGGAGCATTTATAGTTCTGGACAGATATTCCAGGAAATGAGACAGAAGGAAATCAGTGTGAAAATGTTATATACATAAAGGAACATATGAAAGCAAAATCTAGAGTATTTATTTAATATACTGCTGGAAAAGGAGACACAGAAGGCCTGTGTGTAGAGAGAAGATTGATTCTGTGAATTCTATGAAATCTTTTTTTTTTTTTTTTGTATTCCAATTGTTGGAAGAAAAATCCTCTGATTCGTTTTTCCAGCCGGGACTCTATAGTCATCATTTGAGAAGAAATAGTCAGAGAAGCTGCAAAGTAGAGTTTTATTTCGGAAGCCCTCGCTTCTCTGACTATTTCTTCTCAAGCCCTGACTATGGAATCCCGGCTGGAGAAACAAACTAGAGGATTTTTCTTCCAATACTGTTAGTTGCATGGGAAAATAACTGGGCAACCACATCATTTGTAAAATATAAATGCTCTAGTTGGAATGTGAATAAATCAATACTGAAGTTGGCACAGATGCATTATAAACATTGCGGCCTTTGGAACCCTTGGCATTTTAAATTAGGAACTGTTGACAACAAACCCAAGGATTTATATTCACCCTAATAAGAATAAGTAACATATTGTGTGTGTGTGAGAGAGAGAGGGGGGGGGAGAGGGAGGGAGGGAGGGAGGGGATAGAAAGAAAGGGTGGGGAAAAGAGAGAGATACACATACAAACAGAGCCAAAACAACAACAAAACCCTATATTTTCATAGCTCTATATTCCCATCACTCCCCACTATGATCATTGGCATAGGAAACAGAAAATCCGTCAAACTGATGTCATTTTTTGTTTCTAAAATATATGATGAAAAATCTATATTGGCACTGTCATAGGTAATCCTTTGCAAAGCTTTTAGCTAGTGGCCAGGAATGAGTGGCTGATGCGTCATTATTCATTTCAGTAGGGAAAAAAGGGAATCTTATCAGTCCAGGAGGGAAAAGAGAATGGATTTCTGATTACTTAGAATTTGAAGGTGAGAGTTAGCTGAAAATGAAGCACCTCAGCTTGAATGAAGAATTATCACTACAGAACTGAGGTAGGATTAGTGGCAGTAATTTGTCTCAACTGTATTTTTTTTCTATCTCTTCAAAGGGTAGCACTGAAAACCTACCTTCCATCTTTTGTATTCCCTCATTTACAGGAAGGTAATACTTACAATGGTGTCCCTAAAACTTTTCAATTGTGAGAAATAACTTGGGATCTATTGTACAAATGGTTAGAAAACATATGCAAAGATTAGTAACTCTATAATGGGAAAAGATTAACAAAATAGAAGAAAATACACATATAGATATATATAAGATACCACGCAGGCATCACATCAAGACTGCCTTCAAAACAGACAAAAAAATAGCAGCCATCCCAAGAAACCCCAAAGATAAAATTGACCTAGAAAACCAAGGCATATATGATGTACCCTGCGCATCATGCCCTGCCACATACATAGGACAAACCAATAGAAGGATGTACCCACCTTGAAGAACACAAGAATGCAGTAAAAAAGCTAGAACACACTTCCTCGCTAATCCAACACATGAAAGCCACAGGTCATAGCATCGACTTCAATGGCACCAAAACCCTAGCCACTATAGAAAACCTCAGCCACAGAATCAGAGAAGCCACAGAGATTGATAAAAGACCTAATAGTATGAATAGAAGAGATGACTCCACCAGGCTATCAATCATCTGGAAGCCTGCACTCACAAACAAAAAAATCTCTATACCACAATCCAGGTAAGCACCTGGACACAAACAGACCCCTCCCAATACCTCCAACTCAAACACACCCCAGCCAGCTACCCAAATAAAACCTAACTTCCTAATAAACAATTGTCTGCCATTCACAAGAAATCAAGCTGCACTGAAAACCCCCAATACACAAAACATAATGTTGCCAGCCAATCAAGGACACAGCAACTCAAAGACCAATAAACACAGACCTAGACTCGGAGTTTCCGGTTTGTCGGCTTCGCGAGTGGCAGGGATTTGCGAAGCTGCGCGATCCCTGCCGCGCTAGCCGTTTTTGGGGCTCTGACCCAGACGGGTACGGAGCTAGGCTGCCCTGCAGGGGCAGCTGAAGGTAGGGGGGATCCGGAGAAGGGTTTGGGGGTGTTGCAGACCCCCTTCCCGGCCGGCAGAACTCCCTTTTCCCAGGAAGGTGCAGTGGCGGTCCGTAATGGCCGCCACAAAGAAGCTGGCAGCCGGGTAAGAATGCGCAGGAGGAAGTGGAGAAAGTGCTTGAGAGGAGAAAGTTTTTCTTGGTTCCTAGGACTCTAAGACATATTTAACAAAATTCCTGAAAAGTATGACTTTCTGAATGATACCTTCGAGAAGAGGAAAAAAGCGGCAGTTTAATGGTGCTGAAAGGATAGCTTACCCTCTTTTTTTACGGAATAAAAAGTGAACATTAAGAAACCTATTTTTTTTAGGTGAAAACTGGCTCTAAGCGGTGAGTGGGAAAAGAGAGGACTTAAAAAAAAATATTTGTATGCTAAGACCTTGTTGGAGGAGATGCCTTAAGGATTGAAAGACTAAAATATATTGCAATAAGACTTTAAGAAACAGATTTGGACTTTCTTTTTCTCTAATTGATACTACCCCAGGAGGAGAGAGTGGGAACTCTGTCTTGGTTTGGACTGACTGAGAACTTTGGGATTGTCTTATTTTTCCTTTGGAATATTTTGGCTGTTGTAAGAGAAAAGAAAAGAAAAGATTTATAATGGCTTCTTCTATCGAGGAACTGAGAAAAGATTATGAGCAAGCAAAACAAAATGGTAAAGCTGGTGTGAAAGAAGCCTTCCTTTTTTTAGAAATGGCGCTTATTAATTATCAACAAACATTGCAACAGATGAAGACAGCAGAAGAAGAACAAAGAGAGGAAGCCATCTTTAATAAATCTCAGAACTCGACCAAGAGGGAAGGAAGAGGAAAAAGAAGAGAAATAAAGGACTTAAGATTTAAAAAAACATTTAAGAAAGGGAAAAACAAGGTGCAAAATCAATATAAGGATGGTAAACAAAAGGGAAGAGGAATGCGACAGAGAAGGGAAGCCAGTAAGGCAGAGGCTAGAAGAAGGGGGGCTAGAAAGGTTTGTTGGGGGAAGAAAGAAAGGGAAAAGGTGGAGAAAAGCTACAAAGTTTTGAAATTAAATGAGAAAAAAGAAATTTTTTTTAGGGATAAAGGATAAGTATAATTTCTTTAAAGAGATTTTGCAAGGTACATAAGATGATATTGTAGTATTGTATCAGAAATAGAAAATTTAAATGGCTTGAGAGTTGATAAGAGATCAAAATGTTGGAATGTTAATAATGATTGGTTTGAAAATATAATATGAGGGGAGATTTAGAATATTAAACTTTAATTAAAGAGTTTATTAAGATTATGGTATTGATGTTATTATAAAACTTTCATTATAGTATTTTGTTTTTAATATTTAAATCTATTGCTTAACTATGTATTTAATTGTTTTAGATGTATTATTCAGTTAGAATGTACCAAGCAAAATCGGATTGGGTATTTTAAAGATTAATTTGATTAATTTAGTGGGGAGATAGAAAGGCATCATACTCTGATTAGTGATTTCAGGAGAAATTTCTTTTTTTTTAAAAGGAATGAGACAAAGGTATAATAGAGAATGGACAAAAGATATAAATATAATGACTCAAATTAAGATGATTAATTAAGATAGAATTAAGAAGAGTGAAATATGTGGAGAAGTTAATATAGAAGACTTAGAATGGTAAATAAAATAAGTAATGATATGTAAGATGAGCCTGGATATAATTGAAGTCCATGAAAAGAGAGATACCTGGGTCCAAGTTACTTTCCAAAAAGATCTTTTTTATGTTTTGTGTGTTGTGTGATTATGTTGTTTTTTTTGGGGGGGAAAATTAATAAAACCTTGTAGAAATATAGAATGAGAATAATGGTAACTAAGTCAGAAAGAAGTAGATGAAATAATAATAATAAAATTGAATAAGAGTAAAGAGAAATAAAGGGAAATTGGATAAGAGGTTTTTGGTATGTTTGTATGGAAATGGTTTAAAACAGAATTATAGTTTATCTGACTTGTTAAATTTATAATGGAAAAAGGTTTAAACATGTAATGGATAATGATGACTTGTGTGTTTTGAAAATCAATAAAACTTGTTTTTTTTAAAAAAAACAACACAGACCTAGACTCCCAGACAATCAGGATGAAGAAAAAAACATTCAAATAAAACAGGAAGCCAGCACCAACTTCAAACTGAAACGGTTGCCAAAGCCTGACACACACGATTAAGAAAAAAGACCAATACACAAGCCTGAGGATGGTAGATGAGATTCTGCTATAATTTTAAAAGCACAACTATTAAGACGTGGGAAAATACCCGAAGAAATCTAAATACCATACATATAAATACCCGTGAAAACATAAGAAAACAGATTATATATATATATATATATATATATATATATATATATATATATATGTTTTCTGAGGTTCTCGCGGGTATTTGTATGTGGATCTTTGGTTATTCGGGTTCTCTCCCGCGTAAGATTCAAAGTATCTAGGCAAAACGTTTCGGCGAGGTCCCACTCGCCATCTTCAGGCTGGTGCTTTCGGCTTAGTGCCAGTGCAAGCAGTGTGTGACCGGAGCTGCCATCTCTCTCTATATACAAGTGGTGGGGGATGGTGTGCTGGGCTGGTTGGCTGTGCTGCAGCCTCTTGATTGGTTGATGGAGTTGATGTTGGTATAATGGGCTGTGTAATGGCCTTTTGTTGTGGAGATATCCTGGATCTTGTGCTGTCATCTCCTGGGTCGTTAGCCTCTTGTGTTTTAACGGCTTGGGTAATGGGTTGTGTGATGGGCTTGTGAGTTCTTTTGTTGTGGTATCCTGGGTCTTGCGTTGTAATCTCCTGGGTCGTTTGTGTTTTGATCTCTTTTCCATTAGCCTCCTGTGTAGTAACAGCTTGGGTAATGGGTTGTGTGATGACCTTGTGAGATTTATTGCTGTGGTATCCTTGGTCTTGTGCTGTGATATCCTGGGTCATTTGCTGTGTTGTGACTTCTTGAGTTCTTGAGGTGTAATTTCTTGAGTTTTCTGATGTGATGTCCTGAGCGGGTGGCTGTGATGTAGCATTTTGGGTTTTTAATATGGCTTTGAGTTTGGGGTCTGTGTTCGTTTGGCTTCGAGTTCGTGGTCGTGCCACATCTTCATGGTGGGGGTCAGTTCGCTTCATGTATGGTTCAGAGGAGTTTGAAGTGGGTAGTGATGCAGCTGCAGTGCGGCTTCTGGTCTGTGGTCGTGTCTCATCTTCTGTGTGGGTGTGAGTCTGATTTTTACGTGGAAGTGTGGTGGTGGCATCTTGTGTGGCCCTCATGGGTGTGGGTCTGGTGTCATTTATCATGTTGGGTACTCGTCTGTTCATGAGGGCGGGTTTCCAAATGGCTGGTAAGCGGGAGGTGTCATCTCTTTTATTCATGCTGTGTGGGCGTTTTTCTATCTCTATGGCTTCTCTGA